TTTTGTTTTCGTCTTGCTGCTTATACATTTCTCAAGATGAGTGTACTGTTTAGGATAACCATATAACTTATAGCAGAAGGGCCTAATGTGTCCATATTTTCCACAATGATGACATCTCCTAAGGTGACTTATGGGTCTGATGCAGAGTTTATGATGTCTAGCAGGATGTTTGAGCCCTTTTTCTGACATTGTAGCATATCTTCCTTTCTTTGACTAAACACAATCTGACTTAGAGGCTTTATCAACTCCAATTCATGTTAAACTTCCAGCATTGTTTCCAGCTTGGAGAATTTTACCCGAGGCTTATGTTCCTTTGAAGCATTCTAAATTTTTTGGTCATGTTCTCAAGCATAGATGTAAGAAGTAAAACTCCTTTCTGAAGATCAGGCATTTTGATGAGAAGTTCCTTCTCCTTACCAATATTTCTAGAAGAATTGTATCTTCCTGAAAAGGCTTTAACATGCTTGGTAGATTCAATATCTGAATCTTTCTCAGTCAAAGAGACAAATATTCCTTTATTATGTTTCTTGAGGAATTTTAAACATTCTGCTTTAATGTTCCCGAAGCCTTTACATCCATTACATTGAATGCCTTTGTCTTGTCTTGACTTTTCTTCAGTTTTAGTCTTGTTTCGAGCATCATAGTTATTACCGATGTCAAATGAGATGTTATGGACACTTGAACTTTCTCTTCTATCCATTTTTTCTAGAATTTTGTTGAATTGCTTCCCAAGTAATACAATAGTATTGGATAGTCCTTCAGTAGTATCTAGATCAGTTTGACCTTCTTTATCTTCAGTATTGGATACAAATGATGTGCTCTTGTTCCTTTTTTCAGATTTGCCACTCATATCCAACTCAAAGGTTTGAAGAAATCCAATAAGTTCATCAACCCTCATGTTGTTGATGTCATGAGCATCTTCAATGGCTATCACTTTCATGTCAAATTTCCTAGGTATAAACCTAAGAAACTTTCTAGCAAGTTTTTCTTCAGACATTTTTTCTACCAAGGCACTATACATATTTGCTATTTCAAGAATCTTCATATGATAGTCTTGAATGGTCTCATCATTATTCATTTTTAGATTTTCAAATTTAGAGGTGAAAATAAGAAGTTTTGACATTTTAACTTTGGAAGTACCTTCATAAGTTGTTCTGAGAATGTCCCAAGCATCCTTGGTCATAACACATGTGTTAATCAACCTAAATATATTCTTGTCTACTCCATTGAATAAAACATTCAATGCTTTGGAGTTTCTAAGAGTTAGTTTATCATCCTCATCATTTTATTCTTCCTCTTGCTTCAAGGAGACATTTCCATATTTATCCTTGTTAACAGGATAATCCCATACTATCAAAACAACTTTCCATGCTCCATTGTCCATGTATTTCAAAAAATCCGCCATTCTAACTTTCTACCAATCATAATTGAAACCATCTAACAGAGGTGATCTGTTGTTGTATCCTCCTTCCGTAGTACCGAAAATATATTCTCCTCGGAGCTCACCCAATAGACAGAACAAGGTGTCTGCTCTGATACCAATTAAAATTCTGGAACTTGCTATACAAAGGTCAAGACTGATGTCTTAACACAGAAACACGATGTCAGGATAAAAGTTATGACATCTGTTGATAGAAAACTTGCTAAAACTATTTATTGCGTAGAAGGATAAATTGCAGAAGTTTAAATAATACAATCAATTATTAACCCAGTTTTGTGGAACGTCACCTACTCTGGGGGTTACCAAGCTAGGAAGGAAATCCACTATAATAGTATTAGTTCAAAGCTAAACCAACCCTAGTTTACAACTTCTCACCTAATCACTACCTTGTGCAACTTCTACCTAGAAACTACTAGATATGAGATCTCCCTTTCACTTCTTATCACTGTAGTGATATACATACAACCACAAACCTTGTGACTAAACTTAAAAGTGCAAAAAGAAGATTACACTTCCAATAAACAATACTTAATTTTTCTTAAAAGCTTCAACCAATAACAATACTAAACTCTTTGCTTAAAAGGTCATGAGTGAGAACAATAACTTGATAAATAAGCAACAATTAGTCTATTCAATGCATAAAAGATACATGAGTTACATACAAAGAACACAAACACTAAGAACCTAAAAGACTCTCTAAACCATAACCCTTATGTTGCACACACGATTTCTTCTTTGTGAATGCTTGCTACTTTAAGTCATAGCAAGTCCTTATTTAGAGACTCTTGAAGAATGACCTTGGACTCTTAAAATCAAATCCAATCTTCAATTTTTAAATCAGCTACAAGATCTTCACATAAAAATAGTAACAAGTCTTTTTAAAGTTTCCTAAAAAGTCTTCAATATCCTTTTTAATGAAACAAATCAAATCTGCGTACTGTTCCTAAATAATCTCCTTGACCTGCAAATCGCATAATGATGAGGTATATCCAAAAGGATCTCATCAAATCAAAACAAATATGTCAAGAGATAAACAACAACAATGCCTGCTATACACAGACCAATATATTATGATATCTATCTTAGACTTAAAACCATGGAACTAACATTATTAAACTATATTGAGCTCAAATATTTTAGTACAGAGAAGTGATGGTGCTTCAATCTAAAGTTAGGAGAGGAGCTTGGCTACTTCAATCTCAATAATATAGAAGACATGAACGATCTATATTTCGTCTTGTATTATCATAGTTGTAGGACAACCAACATTTCCTTGTATACGAGAGTTGTGAGCTTCACCTACTAAAAGCTCTCGAGTTTTTAATAGAAACTCTCAAGACCAGTTCTTAGGGAGAGGAGTAGGTCCTTAGATTTGACTGAACCTCTATATATATTGTGGTGTTCTTCTTTTTCCTTTAAACTTTTTATTTCTGTTGCTAAGTTTTAAAAAAATATCTTTTAAACTCTGATAGATGTTAGGTTTTGGATTTTTTTTAAACTTTGATTTTAATCTTGAAAAAGTTTTTCAAATTCATGTTTTCCAAATCACACAATTCACCCTCCTCTTGTGTGTGAAGTCTCAAGTCCAACATAATTTTCTCGCCAGGTCAGGTCAATTTGCTTTAGCGATAGGAAATTCTTAAAATTATGGTGTGAGCTAGGAAGTAACATTGTAGCTTTCTCAATGTGGTTATGAGGGCTAGAGCCACCTTCTCAATCTTCTGATACCATGTTTTTCTGTCAGGCCAGAGCTTTTGAAATGAAGTATATCGACTACAGTTGGAATTCTAGTTCTCCGACGAGGACAACGTTGACCGCTTCTTTGGAAACTGCTAAGTAAAGGAATAAGTATTTTCCTTAAAGAGGTCTGGTTAAGACTTGTGGGGTAGATATGGATACTTTCAGGGACATGAAACGCTTGATAAAATTCTGATGTCCATTCAAATTAAGCTTATTTTTTCAATAATTTATAGAAGGGGTGTGTGTGTTGTGTTGATTTCAAAATGAATCTGTTTAAGGTTGTAAGCATCCCATTCAATTTCGTTACTTCTTTATTAGATGTGGGTGTACTCATCTTCATTACCGCGTCACACTTGTCCGAGTTCACTTCTATTAATCTCTCAGAGAGGTAGAAATTAAGGAGCTTCCCTGCTCTCACCGCAAAGGTGCACTTCTCGGGATTTAACCTCATGTTATATAGTCAGACTCTCTGGAAGACACAAGCGAGATACTGGTCGTGTAGTTCTTCTTCACTTGACTTAACAATCATTTAGTCCATATACAGTTCCAAGGTTTCACCTATCTCTTTTTTAAATACTTTATTCATCATCCTCTGGTAAGGGGTCCTCAAGATTTTCAGTTTAAAAGGAATGACATTGTATTGATAGTTTACTTGTTCGATCATGAAGGTAGTTTTTTCTTTGTTCGACTTATACACTAGAATTCGATTATAACTAGAATATGCTTCCATGAAGGACAAAAACTTGTATCTTGCAGAAGTGTCCACAATTTTGTGTATGTTGGGTAGTGAATATAAATCTTTAAGACATGTCTTGTTTAAGTTAGTATAGTTGGCACACATTCTTTATTTTCCATAATTATTCTTGACTAGTACTACATTAGACAACCATTTAGTATATTTGAGTTCATAAATGAAATTAGCATCCAACAACCCTCATATTATTTTCGTAGTTGCTTATGCTTTCTCAGGTGGCCACCATTGTTGTCTCAAGCACGTACCGGGCACCGAGATCCACGTTCAACCGATAACATGCTACTCTAGGATCTATCTCGAGCATCTCATGTGGAAAAATGGCAAAAAAAATCAACATTAACTTTTAAATAATTCACCAGTCCTTCTCTAACTACGACGGGTAGGTCGAATCCTATCTTCATGATTCTCAAAAGATTATCATCCAATTGGATGGCCTGAAAGTCTCCACTCGAGCTAACCTCAAAATTGAAATTAGTTCAAGTTTAACCAACTTGTAAGGGTCTGTTTGATAACACCAAAAAAGAGCTTTTAGCTTTTAACTTTTTAACTCATATTAACAAAAAAACTCTATTTAGTAATTGTTATTTAGCTTTTAGTTTGTAGCTTTTTTACTAGCTTTTAGCTTTTTTCTCAAAAACTATTTGAAGTAGCTTTTGAGCTTATAGCTTTTAACTTGTGATTTTTTCTTTTATTTATACCCTTATTAATTTAACAAAAATATATTGAGACTATCAATTTCTTAATTAAGAATGTCTTTTTATGTTATTTTGTATTTATCGGCTAATATAATAACTAATTTATCAAACATTCAAACTAATTTATCAGTTACCAACTATCAGCTACCAATTATAAGTCATCAACTACCAACTATCCATTAATTTTACCAAACACGATCTAAATAATATAATATTAACCTTCGATTCTAATATGACCATTTCAACCATTTCTACCATTGCACTATTTGACTACCAAAAAATTCACTACATGAATGATAATCTTTCAAACTTGATTTCTTTTTTCCAAGCCATGTATGAAAACAATGTGCCGTGACATTTTTAGAAAACAATGGTAATCATAAAACATTTACTTTCTCAAAAGTGGAACCAAACATTTATTTTGAAAAAATTATAAGCTTAACAATTCAGTCTCAAAAGTGGAACCAAACATTTATTTTGAAAAAATTATAAGCTTAACAATTCAGAAAAGTAAAAATAATTAAGATATTTTTTTCAGAAAAGTTTAATGACATGTGTCCACCATGTGGCACACTTTTATAGGCCGTTAGTAAAAACAGGTCAAGAGGGTAGTTTCGTATTTTCCACTTCTGCAACTCACTACTGAACAACGGTCAAGCATGAGTAGAATAGTCTTGTGAAATTCTCTTCCCAGTATATAATCGCTGGCCTTCTCTTCCTTCAATCGAGATCGAACTTCAACTTCAACCATACCGTTTCTTCAATCGAATCGGTTGAATCGGTGAGTTCAATTGAAACTTTCATTTTCGTTTTCACGAAGTTGTGAATTGAGTTTTCTGCTGTAATTCATGGAATCGCTTAATTCTGTTGTTGCGTGTTGTTCGAATGAATTACTCGTTTTCGTTTAGTTAGATTCTGTAATTTAGATGATTAATTGCAATGTAGTTGTGAAATTGAGCAGTTTTTTTATTTGATTGTAGTTTAACACTCTTAATTTCATTTGGTTCTTGTAGTGGATTTTGCTTTTCTCTTTTGGGGAAAATTGTGCTATTGACGAAAAATGATTTTGAAGTAATTGATTGTAAAAAATTGATTATGGTCTATACTTGAGTTGAAAGTAATAGACTGATTTATATTCTATGTAGCACTGACACTTCTGAAAAAAGGCGTGTCCGTCTCTGTGTTAGAGACATTCATGAAGACTTGTGATTACGTTTAATTTATTTATTTTTTCAAGTTGTTACTGGTATCGCCGTGTCAGTGTCGGGGTTGTGTTCGGAGTGTCAGTGCTTCATAATTTATATTTGAATATTTCATGTAAAAATGAGAAAATGAGTTGAATAATAAGTTTTAGTGTAAAAATCAATTCTAGAATCAAAAGCACCAATTTCTAGTATGAAGTTTTAGTCGATTCAAAATCAATTTTACCTGAGAGAAAATGTCAAAAATTGATTCTAGATCTAGAATCAATTTTGACTCCTCCAAAAGTGGAATAAAACATACTCTAAGTTTTGACTTGTGACACTGTTTTAGAGTGAAAAGCATGTAGTTAATTATGATAATGGACTTGAATCTTTGAGGGCATGCATTTCTAGATTGGATTAGTTTATAAGTCATTGTATACTTATAGATGATGATATTAAACTACAGAGCTTATGAAAATTGAAATGCTGAAGCTAATTTTGAAAAATTCCTAGTTATTAGTACAAGATAATTTGGATTTTCTTTTTTCATAAGGGATTGTGAAGAAGTTTGTCCAAACTTGCTCATAACCTACCCTAATCCCCTATCAGAGTCACCACAGTGGCTTTAATTACATTACTGATAAACTATATTATCGTTGCATCCCCCCATGCATGTACTTTAACAGGCTTAACTAGCTCACAAGTAATGCAATTTCTTCTATACATTCACATGATACGCATCAATCCACGGCGAAACTCACTTGGATAAAAAGCCAGATAGATAAATAATAAATTGATATATAGATGCATATAGTTGGACAGACAAATACACACCCTACCTGGCTACTATTCTATTTTTGTATTAAACTCGGTCTTTCCTTTGATTGTTGAAAGGTGACATATTTGCTTCAGAGTTGGCATAATGATATCATTTTTCAGGGTGACAATTATCCCGAATTGATTTTGCTAGATACTGACTGCATGGGAATAATGCAGCGCAGGTAAGAAGAAAATTGTATTTGCAGCTCAAAAGAGAAATAATTCCTTTCTTTGCTTTATATCTTAGTATGTATATATTTTACTTCTCTTTTACTTAACACTTGTTATCCGTGTCCATTCAACCAAAATGACTGAACTTGGTTTACTATTTCTTCTCTAGTGTACATAAAAGATCAAATGATAGTACCCGGATTATCATCACAGCAATTATGGGAATTTCCTTTGGAATTTTTATTGGTATTTCAATTTCATCTGTCCATTTGAATAAGGTAAAATTTACAACCATTAATCTCTTCAATGTTGTATCAAGCACTTATCATCCTTATGAAACTTCCCTTCATTTACCTGGGGACTATATTTTGCAGATTAGCTTACTTTCAGGTGTAAAGAGTTCTTTTGATGTACCTAGGACTGAAATAGGCAGAGCTCATGCTGTTTTTGACGAATTTTCTGGAACCAAACATATTGAAGCCCTAAGGTCTGCTACTTTACCAAAGGTAAATCACCATGCTTATTTTATAGATGGATTCACATTCGCGACCTAATATTCTTAGAAAAGTAAAGCTGCATATTTTGGTCGATAATTATAACTATATTCCCAGAGAACATCCTTTGGTTGTTAGCAATATAACAAGTGAAAATTAAACTGTTATTTGAAATGTTGAATTTGATCTTTGTTTCTTTATATTCAAAATATGTTCCATTGTCATTTCTTGGCCATGGTTTTATCTTACATAAGACATGTTGGAATATTTTGTGTTAATGATCTTTCTCAGTGGCTATTGGCTGTAGGCTGGAAATATCTCAAACAGCTAAACCTTCTTTTCTAATAAGATTTTAAGGTGTACAAATTGAAGTGTCAGATGATATTTTATTAAATTAACGTTTGTTTATATTTTTGTATTTTGAAATTTATTTGTGGTTGATTTTTTATGATATTGTTCTTAATTGATCATACGTAGATAGGATATAAAACATACCAAATAGAAAAACAATCTCAAACTTCAATTCCAGAAAGGAAGTAAACGTCTGGCAGTATGTCGAAAAAGTATATAATCATAGGCTTTTATTCTAACTTGGATGTTTTTAAAAGAATAGTGATTAGGTGCTAGCATTCACGGTTTATCTACTATAAAACTTGTCATGAAATAGACTACTATTTGAACTAATTATTTTCTAGATGTGTGTTGAACGACAATTTGGATGCAGATGTTTAGGAATCAGGAGCTTATCAACTTTGAAATTTATCATATACTCATCATTATTAACAAACTATGCTGAATTCGCAATGTAGTACTTAAAAAATATTAAAAATTAATTGCTTAAGCAATATTATAGGCCTTAGAATCGACTTTGTCTAGATCCTTGACATTCATAAATCAACCCTTTTCGTAGAGATCCTTTGAAGTACCTCAAGATTTGAACCACTACATCTCTCTTAAGAATTGTGGTTGGTTTTGGTCTAAGTCAACCTTACAAAGCCGGCTTGTAAACTTATAAACTTATAAACATATAATCAAGCCATATATTGTCCAATGTGAGACTCTTTAACACACCCCCTCACACCTAGGATTGAACACATGGAGCGCAAACATAAATGGTGGGTGGCCCGATGGAGAAAACCTGATAGTAGGTTGCCCAATGGATTTTAAATGAGACACTGATACCATCTTAAGAATTGTGGATGAGCCTAACTCAACCTTACAAAACCGGCTTGTAAGGTGAGGATTGCTCCCACTTAAAAACTCATGATCAGACCATATATTGTCCATGAGACTCTTTAACAATCTCAATAACTATTGCGTGAACAAAACACTTACAGCAAAGACCTAGTCATAGTAAGATAATTTAACTTCTCAGCCAGTCTTTTATATCTACTAGTCATAGCAAGGTAACTCAACTTCTCAACCAGTCTTTGATATCTAGCAGGATCTAAAAATTACCCCCTTGATCCAACATAAGTTTGATTTTAGGATCCAACTAGTCTCCTCTAAGATGTCAAGTGCATAATTGAGCATGCCTTTCTTTTACTGATCTACTTCATTCTTTAGGAAATATTCCAGGTAGCCTAAGTCCTTAGTTTGAAAGTATTAAAACAAATATTTCAGGTCATTTCCTTTAGTAACAATATCATCCACATAAACATTGATTAGTAGAGAATGTCTATAAAATATTGAATGGTCATCTTCGGTGCGCATGGTGCCAAAATCCTAAAGAACATAACAGAATTTGCCAAACCATGAGGCCGTATAAGACTTTGCGCTACCTGCAAACACAGCCACCAAATTTCCCCTGAGCACTGAATCCAAGTGGTTTCTCCGTATAGATTTCCTTAGCCAAGTCACCATGAAAGTAGAGAGTTATGATATCCAACGGACAGAGAGGCCAACTTTACCTGTAGTTGCCAGAGATAGAAAAAGACGAATCAACACCATCTTTGCAACCAGGGAAAGTGTCACCATAATTCATAGAATAAAATATGAGTATGGCTTTTAGCTACAAGGTGGGCTTTCAAGCAATCAACATGACCATGCAGGCCTACCTTGATTGTGACTACCCATCAATGACGATAGCCAAGTATAAGTTTTTCTGGAGGAGAAGGAAAGAAAGTTCTTGTCTGGTTGGAATCTAGTTTGTCATCTCAACATTCATAGCCCCGCAGAAAATCAAATTCAAGTCAACAGTATCTCTATCCTATATATCGCCATCTCATCAATCATAGCCGGCAGGAAATCAAATTCAAATCCAAATCAGCCTTATCTCTACCCTATTATGTAGACTCTACAACACAATATCTCAACATATCTTAACAGATACTAATGGGCCCAACAGGCTCGGACATAATCATTAGGGACTGTCAATTTTTTGTTGAATTATTTCTCGTATTGATTTTTGTTGCGTTGCAGCTATAGATTTCATATAGCTGTCATCATATCATAATATAACTATTCTTGCCTTAGATGAGTAGCATTTTATTATATAAAATCTGATTTGAAACTGCTACTTTCGCAGATTAATGTTTCATCAAATCCTCGTGGAGCTGAATTACTCCCCCCTGGAATTGTTGTATCAGAATCGGATCTTTATTTGCGCCGGCTATGGGGTGATCCTAGTGAAGTATATGACAAAAACAGTTATTTACTGTACAAGAAATTATCTGTGGCTTATAGTTTTTACTTTTTATCTGTACACGACTACAAATATGACTAGAATTCAGAAATTGAATAAAAACCCCACACATACTCTTTCTCTGATGTCAGTCTGTCTCATTTGCGTACTCTTTCTGTGATGTCAGTTGGTCTCATTTGCGTACTCTTTCTGTGATGTCAGTCTGTCTCATTTGCATGTGTTGTCTATGGTTTGTAATGCAAGTCACTCAAGTTTGTATGTGTTGTCTCTAAATCACATGTCAAGTCTGTCACAGGAAAACAGAGAGCCATGCTTACCTTTTTTTCCTCTCTTTCTTTTTCATACCTCAACCTCAGTTGAAAAGGGTAACTAGAAAGCCAAAACTGTTTCCCATGATGCATGGCCAAATTGGCTAGAGATGTGCACTGATCACATTTCTGTCTTCGTGCAGCTTTTATGCATGCGTGGGTGCCACTACATATGAGTTTATCAGGAGATATGCATGTGAATAAGTTGTTGTTACACGTTAGACATCTATTTCTTTTCTTTTTCGCAAATCTTACAACGAAACCATGAATTCTGCAGGACCTAAAGAAAAAGCCAAAGTATTTACTTACATTCACCGTTGGTTATAATCAGAGGCATAATATTGATGCTGCACTGAAAAAGGTTAAGAGATAGACTACACTAATATATTTCAATTTGTTTTTATACTTACTATTTCATATTTTCTATAGAAGTACTGACTATAAAATTGTTATGTAGTTTTCTGATGATTTTGCAATTTTGCTCTTTCATTATGATGGTCGAACTAGTGAATGGGATCAATTTGAGTGGTCAAAGAATGCAATCCATGTTAGTGTAAAGAAACAAACAAAATGGTATAACTTTTTTCTGTCATTATTTGCATATAACATGTAGAATTCATTGGCAAAATATTGGGGAATGAGAAGGCAATTGTTTTTGTTCACATTTAATATGGAATTCTTAAGAGTGCTTATCGTTGTCTTGAATGATGATTCTACTGCATCACTCCCTTACTTTTCGTTACCCTGTTCTAATTTCATGTTATACAGGTGGTATGCTAAAAGGTTTCTGCACCCGGACATAGTATCAGCTTTTGAATATATTTTAATCTGGGATGAAGATCTTGGAGTGGAACACTTCGACGGGGACAAGTATGACTTTCATATGTTTAGTCTGCTTAAGTGTACATTATATGCAATTTTTAGTTTGATTAATTCACCAAATTCTAATCTCTAGGTATATGAATTTAGTAAAAAAACACGGTTTAGAGATCTCTCAACCTGGTATTGAGCCCAACAACGGATTGACATGGGAGATGACAAAGAGGAGGGGTGACAGAGAAGTTCACACGTATTACTTCGGCCTTCCTATCTTTCTAATTTTAAGCATTGATGTAATATGGTGTTTTTTTTTCATGGTTCAAATGTTCTCTTAAATCTTATGACACTTATGTTGTGTTGGCATATATAGGGTTACTCAAGAGAGACCAGGATGGTGTAGTGATCCACATCTTCCTCCTTGTGCTGCGTATGTTCTCTCTTTCACCCTTGATATATCATTATGTAGTCTTTCTTTTCTGTCTATGCAGTTAACGTTATTATTTCTTCTGTTATTTTAGATTTGTGGAAATTATGGCCCCTGCTTTTTCTCGGGAAGCATGGCGATGTGTGTGGCATATGATTCAGGTATTTTTCATTTTCCATGTCCCACATTATAGTAATTGTAATATAACTAAATGAATAACTAAAGTTTTTCTTTTGTGTGATATATACAAACTTTTTAATCACCTTAGTGAACATTCCAAATATATGCTTGTAGAATGATCTAGTGCATGGATGGGGATTGGACTTTGCCCTCAGAAGATGTGTGGAGGTGAGGAGATTCTATTATCTATTTCTTCTCAACCGTTCCTAATGCTGGGACTTTTATCCTTTTCATTAGCCTAGACAATAGCTTGGTATGCTTCAATTGGTGATGTGTGGCTTCAGATGCTGAGCTCATAATCTCAATAAAATTATATTACCCAAGCATAACTTTTTGTTTTTCTGTTTGAACTTATCCTACAACAAAATTTATTAATTTCCTGGTTATATGATAATGTATTGTATTTGTGTTTCTGTTCATAATAATGAATTTTGGCTTCTGTTTTTTCATAAATTACTATATAGATTATCGGTATTATGGTCAATTGTAAATTCTCAAAACGCATTAGATGGTTTCATTTATTCTTGAGTTAGTCAAAGAGGCTTCCAGAATATAATGTTTTTTGTCCTTTTTATTTTTATGAATTTTCCGCAGGCTATTTCTGTGTGGAATCTGTATATTTTTGCTCAATAATGCAAAGTTACAATTATATTCTCATCAATTACATGAAATCTTCTTAGAATTAGTTAACCTTGCTTTAATCTGAATGAATCTGTTTTTCTGATTTTTAGCCGCCAGCGCATGAAAAAATTGGTGTAATTGATTCTCAATGGATTATTCATCAAGTAATTCCTTCTCTCGGGAACCAGGTTAGTCATCACTGGCTTATAAAATATTAATGGCCACTTACTAACATTCTAAACTGAGAGTTTTTATGTATATGCATGTACGTGTTGTTGTTGGGATTATATGTGGGCCATGCTTTGACAGCTTGGTTAAAAGGTGGAAAATAAAAATCATTTCTCATTAAGATGATGGATCTACTTAAGTAAATATCTTTATTGCCTATTTTTTCCACGTAAGACTCAAATTGAGACCTTAATGAGAAACCAAACTCTTCAGTATTTTGACCAACATGTGTTGGCAATAAAAGTATATTTTCACATAACAAAGTCGACACTAAGGATAGCTGGATTGCATTGTTCCAACTCCCAAGTATTTTTTTATATAATTTTGTTTACATTTTCCTCTTTATCTTTTCCACTTTCTCAACCAAACATAGCTCTGGATTTTGAACTGTTGAAGTTGATTCTAGTAGAGGTTTCAATGAATTCATGCTGGCTGGAGGTTGAACTATGATGAAATTGTTTTTTAATGTTTCTTTTGGGATGGGTGGGCTTATTATAATTTGGCTATAGGTTTTGTTTTTTGTTAGTAGATGATAGCTTTTTCTGGTATTGATTTTATTTTATTATGAAATTCTTGTATTCATTTTATTATATCATTTTCAGGGACAATCCGAAAACGGAGAAGATCCACGCGCAGCGGTATGTGTATTTCATATTTAACAATGTTATTTGCAGTTATTTGGCTAACCCAACTACCCATCTGACTTCTTTCTGAAATCTGCTATAGCTATGTGTATCTTAGATTGCAAGTTCCAACCCTCAAAAAAAAAGAAAATATCCTGGGTTGTAAATGCAAGATCAGTTGTCCTAGTAGCCCTACTCAGTCTCTTAAAAGTTTTTCACACTCTGCAATACTACTATTTTTTGGATCAACTCCCACCTAAAACTAAGATAAATTTTAAAAACAATATTTTTGTGATTTTTACAAACAACTATTAAACTCTTGTCCGGTAACTCTTTTAGGTCAGAGCCAGATGCAGAAACGAATGGGGCCAGTTTCAAGCCCGGCTAAGCAATGCTGACAAAGAGCATCTCAAAGAACTTAAACGGAATGGGAAGGTTTGATACATGGATGCATTTTCCTATTGTACATGTTTAAAATACACTCAGGGGGCTTTTGTTGTGTATTGCTTTCTTCCCTCTTGAGTATATATTTTGGTATACAGAGCACCTTTTACTTTTTTATTCTTATTTTTTATGTTATAAATGATAACAATCATCAATCTAATTACTATTAGATTCAAAGTTTTAAGGTGATAGTGGAGTTGATAAAAAGTCTTAGAACCAAACCAATAATTATATTCAGTTTGGTTTGGGTTTGAAACAATTTAATTCGATTACAGATGCATAGCAGGTTAGCTGGTTGTTGATTTACCTTAAATAGGGTTGGCGCTTGGCAGGCAGGTTAGTCCGTGAAAGAGGAGTCAGGTTGAGTGGTAGGAGTTTGTCTTTGTCATTTTAAGGAATAAGATTGTAGGATGGCATTAATGTCACTATTATTAATGACAATCTTCTCTTCTAATTTATTTTGGTTTCTTATAACTACTTTGAAACGGATAAAGAGATATAAGTTAAAGCTTAAAATAAAAACAAAACAAAAAAATATTTGAAAAAAAAAATCAAAATGGTGTTTTACCTTTATATTATAATAAATCTTTTATTTAAGGGTTAAATATGTTTGGGGTCCTTATAAACATGTGACCCTTCAATTTTAATCTCTAAAATTTTTCTTCAAATAATGGTTTTTATAAAGTTTTCTATCCATAATTTTAATCCTTGATATCAACTTTCTCTAATGGAAGTAGAGACAAAAATTTGAAAATCAATTTAATTTGTGGGGGTTACAAACCTCTCTAAACATTTCAAACTCAACCCAAATTTTTCAACAGACCAAACAATTTCTCAACATTCCAAAAATAATAATCCATAATCTTAAATTCTAAATACTTTCTTAAAATATTTTACAAATTATTTACATACGTAATAATTGATAGAAGGACAAACACTAGATTTAGAGCACCATTTCTATAAGACTATGTTTGGTTGGCACTATTTTTTAGATTTAGAGTTATGGCAGAATCAGATAACGAGTCAGGAGGAGGTAGCAAAGAGCAAGACATATTTCTTTCAATAGCAAACATGAGTAGGATTATGAAAAGAGCTTTACCAAATCGTGAGATTATGAAAAGAGCAAGACATGTTTCTTTCAATAGCAAGACATGTGATGTCACGTTTTCAAATCGTATCGTTATCGGTGCTCTTAAACACCATTGAGTACCAAATATTTGAGGTTTAGTTTACCATTATCATTATCAATAGGGTGAAACAAATTAGAGATTAAATCACAGAAGATTCAACTGAGTTTACCATAATCACTATTTCAAACTTTGCAAACACACTCATAAATCCAACTTTGCTCTTTAAATCACTCGAAGTTATATAAAAAAATTCAACTGAGACAGTCATGTCGTCGAATATGTAGTATGCATATTTTGATTTTCAGAATTTGAGTTATGTATGCTCTGATAATGATAACATTTGAAGTTGCATTATAAATTTTATGTCGATGAACAAATTATTCATAACTCTAGTATCCATTGGATGGTTCTGTTTCAGATTATTTTGCGTGAGAACATTAGAGAAATTCTGGCCAGAAGATTTACGTTATTGGAATATACTATCTGACTATGATTATTTCTCTTTTGATATCCTTTATGTTTTTGTTCATTCCTGAAATCACGGAGTCGTTGATGGCTACAAAGAATTTGAACTCAAGGAAATGGATTCCTGCAATGATGCGTTATTCAAGAGAACCTCATGCAAAATACTGCTTATTCATAATTACATTTTCAATCTTCAAATGTTTAAGTCAGAAATAACAAGTTCATGAATTCATTTTAAGCATATTAACTATTTGAAAATACAGGAATGAGACACAAAGTCATTAAATATCTTGAATTTTGTGTTTATAAATTGTATAATGAAGATTGAGGTGTTCATAACCAGCTGCTTTTGACATAATGAAGATCTAGGTGTTCATATAAGGTGTTACAATTTTGAATGGTAGGTGTTTGTTGAAATGCCTGTTAGAACTTTGTTCCTAAAAGTGGCTGGTTTGTTTAGAGGGAGATTAAAATCTCCGCAATTTCAAACGTTTTTCTAAGTTGTCTGTCACGTCAGTTTCAGTTAATGAAAGTTGACGACAGAGACCAAATTGTGGATGGAAAAGTTTGCGAAGACGATTATTCGAAGGAAAATTTTAGAGCAATCAAAATTGAAGGGTCACATATTTATAGGGACTAAAAACGTATTTAACCCTTTATTTAATAATATATTGTCAAATAATTCAATTAATATATGTTCTGGACTGGGCTCGGGCAAGCAGGCCTAACGTCGGGCACGACCCATCTGCCCACGCGTCAATAATAGCCTATTTGATGGCCCAATCTTTTAGGGTCCAATCTGGACATGTGCAACCCACGTGTCCCTCATCTGAGGATACGTCATCAATTTGTTCTGCATTCTTCGGAGTTGTTACACCCTTTGTAATAAATATGGTCAACCACCATTAAAAGATCACATAATAAGTTGACTCAGGACAAAGACCATGTGCTGGTCTTCCTTACTCACGTAGGATCCTGACAGTAATCTATTGTGGGTCTAAAATCCAGCCCACAATGGAGGCCTTAGTTCAGTGCTGAGGTCACTATAAATACCCTCTCTTACTAAAGTATCACATATTCTATTCTATTTCACTCTTACCTTATGTATTTTCTCTCTTTGCTCTGAATCTCATTTTGCCAATGGAGTATCTTGTAGGTATCCCTCTCTCTATTTTTTTCAACAACCGTTGAAGCTTAAGCGTTGCAGACCACTGAAGATCCTTTTGATCCCAGTAAGATCAGTGACGCCATCTGTGGAAATCCTTTGTTCCCCTATCTTTTTTTGACTAAAGACCAAAGCAAATTCATCCTCAAAACCTACTAATCATCATGGTCAGCTGTAACACGGTGGGAGAACTGACTTTTGGTTTTGCGTATTATCACAAATGTTATGGATAGCAAGAATCATCACCAACTTTTCTTTTATCCAATAAAGGAAAGAGTGAAAAGAACATGAAAGACCTTTGAGAATTTTTTTAAGTTCGGGGGGTAGGTTATGAAAAGGGAAGGTATTAGCATCCTTTTCATCCGTAGTTACCTACCGACTCTTAATTGCTAGCTCATTTTGAAATTCTTTGTGTTTGTGTATGTTTGAAAATATTTTGAAAATGCCTAAGTACGACAATTTTCTAATGATTCTCGTATCGTTGAGAATGTATACAAAATGTTTGTTTTGAAAATATTATGAAAGAAAGTGTTGTTTTGTGAAAAGATGTTTTGAAAATGCCAATGTAAGGCAGTTTGCTTTATAATAACCCTTGTATCAGTCCTCAAGGGTGTTTATAAAGCGTTTTGAAAGTAGTTGTTTTGAAAATGTGAGGTGTGTAAATTGTTTTAGTTTATGAGCAAGCGATTACGAGCGATCTACCTACTCAAAAGTCTTCGTTCTTTCCCTCATCCTTTAGATAGTCCTATTCTACCATTAGTTAGTAGGAAGCCCTATCATTGAATGTGAGAGACGGGTGTGGTTCGTCGTACAATCATAGAAGGCAACTTGTAAGAGGCTTTAGCAATTACCGTAAGGGACTAAGACTATTTATCGAAGGCAACATCGAAGAGTAATTGAGGGACTACGATCTTTTAATTGAGGGTTTGTGCTAAAACATCTCACATTTGAGGGACATGACTGTTTTTATCCGAGGCAACAAGTGAGGTTACCCTAGAGGTGTTTTGATTTCAAGTATTTGTCTTTGAGATTAGGTTATCTATTGTTTGTTCTTTATCTTGCCATACAAACCCTAATTACTAACAATAATAAGGAAAGCAGTAAATTGAGGAAATTAAATGTCCTACGCCATTACAATGATTCGGAGATGGGGGTACAAATTTATGAATGGGGTTGAAAAGGTGAAGAAAAACCTGATTTATCTATTATATTCTTTGAGAAATTACAATATTGTCAAATATTAATGCGAAAATAAAGTACGTGAAGGTGGTAAAAAGGGAAAAGATGTTTAAGGAACCCTAAAAATTCTAAGTATTTTAAGAAAATATTTTGTTGTTTTTGTTTAGAAAAAAATGTGAAATAAGAATTAGACCTAACTCTAATTAATTTATAATTTAATTATTTAAAACAAAACAAAGTATAATTAAATTAAATTAATTTTTAATTGTTAAAAATTAAATTAATTTTTAATTGTTAAAAATTAAATTAATCAATTAACAACCTAAATCTGATTTTTTAATCATTTTTATATTTTTTTCTTCTGATTTTTAATAAAATTATTTTAGAAAAGAAAAGATTAATTAAAGTAAAAAAGAAATAAAATGGGCCTGAACTGTAAAAGCAATTGGGGGTGTTAGCAAGCAAAAACAAAAAGGCCTAAAACAACTAAGCCCAGACGCTGAATGATTAAGTGGAGATGGCTCTCTGAGGGTGCATCATGGGGATAGCGCTTGGTGCATTGGATTTGTCTGCGTGATGATCTGATGGTTGTAGCATAAGGCGCATGATGAGCGCGTGTGACTTTCCCTCACTGGATCTGTAGAGAAAATGTTAGAAAAATAAAAAGGTACAGCTGGAGCTCGAACCCAGGTCCCTAAGGCCAAAATGACATGAAACGTGCGCTGCTTGCCACTGGGGTGACTGTTACATCCGGAGATAAAACAACAATCATTAAATATAAAATAAACAATTTTTCAAAAATGGACTTCATCTTCTTCCTCACGCGCGTTTACAGTAACAACAACAACAACAACTTCAAATTTTGTAAAATCTTCATTTCTCAACCAAATCAAAAAATGTAAACATCAAACTTGCTTGAAATTTAACCACGAATCCAACCTTATAACTTTCAAAAGCTATAGATCAATGGTTAGGATGAATTTTGCTTGGTACCAAACTGAACCCTAATATCTCAGAAACTTCAAATCCAAAATTCTCATCACACAGTCAACATAAAT